AATTTAATAAAGTATTTGTTTATTATACGAAAACTGTCTTTCATTTCCACAAAAAAAAAAAACGAAATGACTTTCCGAACAACCCTATATTATATGATGTACTCTTTGAAGTCGACCTTATTGTAACAGCTGAGAGCTTTTTCAAATTCACCCCGTCGAAACGCTTTAACAGCTTGAGTTTTTAAAGTTTCACACTTCTCTTTCTTTATCTGTCTATCTTGAAACCTTTGATTTGCATCTTTTTCAACTTGTTTCATAAACTGTTCTAAAATACGATTAACACGTACAAATTACCAAACTTTTCGTTGTTGAACGTACCCTGGGACATCGTTTCCGGATTATCCTCCCTTCTGAAAGCTTCGTGATTAATAACGGATTTGTCGGTTTTTATTTGAACCTGTATATCATCTTCGCTTATATCTTCTGGCAATTTTTTTCCGCTGTCCTTTAGGAACTTGTCGGCTTCCAAAGTGCCCATGTGATTCAGGATTTTGTCTTTGGACGCAAGTTTTTTAACGATGCTGTTAACTTCGTGCACCCTGTACATGAAATTGTCGAACTCCACATCTACGCGTTCCTGTTTGAAATCGGACATATCTTTTGCTAAACACTAAACTTTGTACGTAAGGGGTACTGACAGGCACTTCGGTACTTAAATGTTATTTGTAATAATCGATATCTGCCATGGTAACGAAATAAACCATTTTTCTTTTCTTGACAGTTGAAAACAATCAATTAAATGTCAGATCAAAGGTCTAGCACCTCATATGTAATTACGGAAAAAAATATGTACCCAAGGAAGTTACTGTGGTGTAAAACGTTTGTCATGAATCACTATAATTACTTATAACGCTTTTAGATTTATAAAATATTACATATTTCTGATATATCGCTATTTATTTATGTTTACAAAACATCCCTGTTCATTTAGTGTAAAAGATGAAAATTGAAAAAAAAAAATACACTGATTCGATTAATTACCAAAAATTAGTGGGAAATTGAGTTTAAATTATTACGTAATTCCCTT